GACTCGTCCGAAAATTCCCTTATCGTCGTTTTCTGGCCGTGTAACTCGTTCAACCCCCCTTTTCTCTTCTTTTTTTGAAGCTTTCTATAGCTTTTCATTCATCGCTTTTCGCGTTTTCTCCTTTTCCATTGTACTAAGGTAGGCCATATCTAACATTTTTCGTCAAAAACCGGATACCCCAAAATTATCGTAAACTGTGCCTTTAAACCACTCACACCGAATACACACCGGCGTACTTACACAAACCGGCACATGCACGGTCGCACATACACACTTATAAACAATTGGCAGAATCTCTTAATGAACTCATAAGCCTAAAGGCGAAAGGCATACTCTGACGAATTCGACGATTGATTAGTTATTAATTTTCTTGTAGGACTGACTAATTAGCTTAAATATTAGGTGTGTTCATTAATTTCCGCCGCCTAATTCCAGAGGCCGTCGCGTGGACCATGTTAGAGGTTTACCGGTGGAACATGTCATATTCTTTGAAGTAGGGTATTGGGTACCTACTTAAGGGCAGACAGATCAGTTTTTTCCCAAAATCCCGTTGCTTTCAAACTGATTGGTCATGGAAGGTGGTAGACCGTTTTCCTGAGGGGCCCTTCTCCTGGTGTTTGATTACAAGAAAACTGCCATTGAAGCCCACCGGATGCTTTTATGGAGGACCTGCTGAGATGGTTTGTCTTCACTCGAGAGTTTGCAACGAAAGCGGAATGTCCATTGTCAAAAAGTAATGCTGTGTGTGCATTTGGTGGCGGTATCAAAAGGGCGGTGTACTATGAGCTGCTGAACCCGAACGAAACTGTTACTGCTGACTGCTACGAACACCAACTTGACTGTCTGTAGGATGCTCTCACCTATATGCGGCCGTAATAGGAAGAACATATCATGAGGTGCTGTTCCACCACGGACGTGCCAGACCCCATGTTGCGAAGAATATCCTTGAAAAAATTGCAGTTGTTGGATGGGATCAGCTTGTTGAGCCCGCACACTCACCTGATCTTGCTCTTTCTGATTATCACCTATTCCGGTCCATGCAAGTCAGTTTGGCAGATACACTCTTCCGGAATGCCGAGGATGTGCGAAAATAGGTGGATGACTAGATTGCCTCAAAAGATGAATACTCTTCTAAAAGCGCAGTCAACAAGATACCAGAAAGATGGCAAGAAGTTGTAGCTAGCGATGGGCATTACGTTGGTTAATGAATATTTGGTTTTAATTTTGTAATAAGTATGTTTTTGCACGTGAAAACGGCGGAAATTAATGCACACACCTAATATGCAGGTTATACTCCCCTGAATAAATGCTTTTGAATAAAGCATAAGCCGCACCTTGTTGGAAACATGATTATGTTTCCATTTTCGTGCGTTTGACTGAGCGATCCTAGTCATGAGCGGACGAAAACCCCTTCACTAGCCCTAGGCTGAGGATGGAACTAGGTACTAGGCCTATACCGAAGCACCACCTTACCCAAACTTTAGAGAATTACGAGTAGAGATTTTTGCGTTTGGTGGTCGCATCCTCATACAGTGGCTGCGAAGGTTGTAAGATTTCGGTGGAATCCCGGAGAAAAGGGAAAATAAGAGGTATTTTGTGTGTCTATATGACTAGGATTTGATAGTGGACAAGCCATACTATTAGTCATTCTTCAGTTCGTCTAGCATACGAAAGAATCGTAAAATTGATTGAATGGTGTTGTAAACAGTAACTCATTTTTTAAGTCACTGTCCACACACGAAAATTTAAGAGGTGTGTAGCAGCCATTTTAATGAATTGAGTTCAAACAATAATGAGAAATATGTACGCGTTAAGACAGGCGACCTACTCTTCTGGGATGTCGTCTTCAGGTTCGGGATCATCTTTAAGGATTAAATTTGGATTCCGTTTTCTGAATTTTATGTCCATTATTTTCTGTTTGAAACCAGGTGTGGGATTTGAATTTACCTGCAAAAGAAAGGAGTTTATTTGCTTAACTGAATTTATACTTCATTTTAAATATATTTATATTTAAATACTGTTCACCTTGAAGAGATTCTGATTTTTCCTGAGGTAAGCCACGAGAGGCTCACCACTCAACGTTTGCGCCTCTAGTGGAATTTCTTGGGCAACTGTGAAAGACAATTATTAGTTATGTTTCTCCAGTATTATTAGTTTTTGCCCAACCATTTACATCTGCTCCGGAGGCTACGTATAGATAAGCGCAAAGCGTAAACACCAAGTACATCTGTAACAATTATTCTCAATCTGTCGATTCAATTTTAATGTAAAAACTCTTCTTAGAATGAAGGTCAACGAGTCAGCTCACCATGTTGCCTAGCGGTTGGCGCAGCGTTAGGTCCTGATCATAACGTTTTTAACCCCTTGTCATGAGATAGGCAGCTTCGGTTATGATAAGAATAGTGCGAGAGGAATCTGCAGAAGAAAGGGTTACGTAAAAAACTCAATTCATTGTTGACTCTTTGACTTGTAGTCTTTCTTCAATTCAAGACGGAGCTCAATGAGTTTGGATGGTGCAGGCATTATGGATGTTATAACTTTGATAAGCGGAACAGTTCGAGTAAGAACTTTCTCTTGAAATCCCTCTTCTGATATGCTTCACCGCTTGTGGGCGGTTATTGACATTTGAATGTCAACTATTTTGAGTCTTCGATTTGAAGTTCCCCTTCCCCCTTCCCCCCTCCTTATGCCCAAATACGGTTTTAAATATCAATCACAGCTTTTGGCGGCGTGCCAAACATTCCAGATAGCTGTACCTGGTTAATGTGTTCGAAATAGTTAATGAATAAAGGTCTTTTGTAATTAGTTAATTGCTGGAAATCTAGCTTCACGTTAAAAAGCTTTTTCCCTCACTTCACGATTGTAGTTTGTTCTAACCGTCCACTGCACAGTTTTTGAATCGTTGCGTCAGTGTGAGTGTTCTCTCGCATGATAATCAGTTAGCTAGACAAAGTGAGTCTGTTGGCTGGCATACGATTGTGTACAGTGCCAACTGAAGGGCATTGAAAGAAGGAAAGAACTCTCAAGCGAAAGTTGTTTGGTTCAAGACCAATCTTTTCTGACCGTGAACGTACTTCAAAGGTTTCTTTCGAGCGGAAAAAAGGTGTGACTCCCTACCTAGTAAAAGCATGGCGAAACAAATTCCCTATTTGCCAGTGTAACAAGAAATACATAGGACGTCACGAGAAGTTACTGATATGTTGAAGTATAGACGCATCAAGATCCTATGTTTCCATAAGACATGGGATAGACACGGAGGGGGTATCAGGTGGTAATATCCGCCTACGCACTGTCTCGAGTACGGAGAAGATAAGTTCTATCCAAACCATGAGAACTAGCTAGCTATCAGAATAGTTCCGGGAAGAGACTATCTCACCATAGCGGATGGTCCAAAAGGAGGCTGAATCATGGCGGATTCTCCGTGTGGAGAAAACAAGAACTGAAGAAGTGATGAAATTCAGCAGATTGTGAGGCAAGGAAAGTTTGTCTACATCGAGCGTCGACAAAACGCGAGCTTCAGAAGATCAATCCTTTACAGAAGATGCAAGAAACTTCCAAAGGCTGCGATAGCGAAGGCAAAGAATACGGATCAGGTAACCTTCCATAAAAGCTCGATTTGCCTTTCGGCTGGCGAAAACGCAATGTAGGGCTACTGATGAAGTAGAAAAGCGAAGTCCGTGAAGAACAGCGAGGGCGCCATCATGAAAGTCCAACAAAGTTGAAGCGTAGTAAGGAAGAATGGTTTGACGGGTTCCTGAAAGAAGTATTCCAATGCAAAAAAGCTCCCACGTGGAAGAAATAAGTGACCTTGCTGCAATAGGGAAAATGAAGGCAAGGAAAGCGGCTGCTTCGAATGTTAACAACCGAATCATGGAAGACACAGGGATAACATGAAAATGATTACTCATCAGTTTCCTGAATGCTGTGCTCCCTGAAGAAAGTGTCTAATTATGAGATGGGTGGTGGAACAGCAGTCTTCCCTAAAGTTCTCAAGTAAGAGGATAGTGAGTTAAAGGCACAGTTCACGGTCAAAATGGTTCTGAAATTCCCCTACAGGATGAATTTGAGGCCTCGCGTGTACCATATCTAACACCATTAGGTCGGAAAACCGCCTCAAAGTTTGGCCTGTTGTATTCTCGGACGACTTTCATCGGCATTGTAGAGGCTGCATGTATTTCCGATGGCAAGGGAACCCATGTAGGAAGTTTAAACAACTTCTCATGACCCATAGCGACAGTGAAAGACAGTTCTGTACAGTTCCGGCTTGATGTAGTCAGCTCTTAGGGCAACTGCAGCAACCGAAATCTCGTCCGAATACCCCTTGATGTTATTTCCGTCATGGCAATCTCGTCCAAACTATATTTCCCTCACTTTTGAGGAGCCATATTTTTCTCGAAATCTGCGAATTTTCTCGCTTTCTTCTCCACCGATGGACTATTCCCGATCTATACTTCCGCTTTTCGAATAAAAACGAGTACTTCAATGTTATTCTGAACTGAGCCTTCAAGTGTGCTATGAGAACGCTCACAGGTTGCTTGCAGAGGACGAGGAAGTCAGAAGGTTTCACAATTAGAAGAAGGGGAACCTATCATAAAAAGGAAGCGGAATTGTTCCAAGCGGTTTAGAACACTTCGCCGAATCTTGACTACCCCTACCGCTTGTAGAGTTTCAGTTTAGGTTATTGAGACTACCAGGGGATCAGGTTAACCGTGTATATGATGAAACTCTACAAGCGGGAGGCCAACTCGGAATTTAGCGAGCTGGACTGTATTCCTTAGAAGATATCCGGTTTATCTTAATGATAAGCTCTGCTTCTTCTATTAATTTCAAGATCTACATCTGATTTTCTTCATTTCTTTGAGCAACACTAAGAGCGTCAAGTGACTTTGAGAGCCAATGACTATTGTAGTAGTTGATCAGTTTGTACGGTGAATACAAAACATTTCAGAGCATCGAACAAAGTAGGGGGGAATGGCTGAGGGATAAGGTAGTAGACCCATGTCTGTAGCTAGAACAAGCGCGAGATTAATCCCTGCCTGGGACAACTCCACGCGTTGGAAAAAATTGCAAAAATGCTATCGGTACCAGCGTCAGACCCAGGTTGGCAGGCCGGCTGATGGGGAAATCCAGCCACCTCTGCTATGTCAAAAAACCTAAAAGAAACCAGTGATAAAGCTAGGACGTCACCCGGAAGTGGCGCACGGAATTTTTGTCCGAGTCCTCGGAAAGTATGCGAGAGCTACCGAGGACCTCGGTTGAAGAAGTTAGTTCAATTTGGGACTCTGAACGTGAGATTGTTATTGGGGAAAGGTGAGAGGTCGCTGATCCAATGAAGTACAGAACATCCAAGTCCTATGCCTTCAGGAAATCTGCTCGAAAAGAGCTAAGGCTAGATAAATCAAAGAAGGTGTCAAGCTCTATTACAAAGAGGACGGCACCGAACGAAATGACGTGACCGAGGCTCATCAAGGACTCTGTGTTCGCGGTGAAAAGATCAGCAGTCGAATTGTGGCCGTGATGGTAGACAAGAAAGCGGTATACCAGGCAATAATATTGGTGTGCAGACCGGCTGCTTCGAGTGGGAAAAAGATGTGTTCAATCTGAGCCTTGATGATGCGACTGTCTCACTCTGTGTTCTGAATGGGCACATCGGCGGTGGAAAGAGAGGATCGGAAAGGGTACTAGGAGGCAGAGGAGTAGGGGTCAAAAACGAAGATGGAAAGTGGTTCTATTGACCTAACCATATCCCATGACTTGGCAGTTTGCGGCACCTTCTTCGTAGAAAGGAAGAAGAAGCTTGGTAAAGGACATCCTGCTTGACGAGGAATAGGCTTTGTACCATAGGCCACTTCTAGCAGTTATGGCCACTAGAGCGAAGTGGAGGATCATGTGATGGAAGTTGTAGCAAACTGAGAGAGAGGAACTCAAACGGAACAAATTGGAAGCTGGTCTCCCCGATCCCGGAGGACCAATCCACTAGACCTGGAGTGTAACCGTGAGATTCATCCTACAGTGGGCAAAGAAAACGCTGGGAGAGACTCGAAGTGGACTCCGAAGAGTATGAAGCGTGGTTCTGCACGATGAAGTCCAGCGAGTTGCGAGGGTGAGGAAGGCGGCTCACAAGTGCTGGCAGGAAAAGCGAGCTCCAGGAAATCCAGTTGCTTGCTCCCAAGAAGCTCGCCATGGCTGCTGTATCGAATGCAAAGAGCTCGGGAATGGACGCCCTCTACGAGAAATTCGAAGGTCAAAGGATGGAAGTTCCTACTCTGGGTAGCGGGCCACTCAAAACAAAGGGGTAGCGAAGTCCGTTCAGAACAGGGAGCATGCTACCCCAGGAAGCCAGGTGAGGTCAAAGGATGGTGGATAAACTAGCTCGAAAGGCTCTCAAAAGAAGAGTGCTACCGTGGGAACAGCCTCCAAATGCAGTAGTGTGCAAAACTTAGGGAAAAAAGCAACTTTCGATTACTGTACCGCTTCCACATAGCAGAGCTCGATGAAATTTATACCATACAAAGAGAGGACCATTACGGTATCGCATAGGTAGCAATCGACTGGAAATCGATATAAGACAAACAAATAAGACATTTTTATTCAAAAGTACCGATCACACATACATGTGTCTTCACAGTTGACGCTGGTACCCCAAAAAAAAGCAACGCAGCTCTTGATAAGGTGTGTGATCACCGAGGGCAGCAATGGATGCTCTGCACCGCAATCCCATACTTTCCACGCCTAAGATATTGTAGTAAGGCATTTCTTTCCTTTATCACCGCAATTGACATTTGCTGGATGGTAACTGGTGCATTTGGATGTGCTGCAATGCGTCTACCCAGTGCATTCTGCGCGTGCTCGATGGCATCCAGATCGGAGAAACGGACAGGTCACTATATTCGCTGGATGTCGTCTTGTGCCAAGAGCTCTTCCACCTGTGCTGTTCGATGCGCTCGTGCATTGTCATCCGTAAAAATGAATACAGGGCTAACTGCAGGCCTGAAAAGACGCACATCAGGAAGGAGCACCTCGCCACAGTAACGCAGACCGGTAAGGATTCCAGGCTCAAAAATCAGGAGATCATTACGGCTATGCAGCATGACACCTCCCCATATCATCACAATTCGACCACAAGAACGGTCCCGTTCGAAAGTGTTTCTGAGAGAGTTGCGTATTCCCACCTCTCGCTATGTGAGCGTGCGTCCACAATCACTGCTCAGATTAAATCCGCTCTCA